CCCCCACCCCCACAAAAAAAAAAAAGGAAAATAGAAGCAAAGATGATGCAGTGCAATTTATTGCTGCAATAATTTAGGGATTTTTGTGGTAAAAAGATAGGGATTTGTCTACAAGAACAGTAATGATTAAGATAAATGTAAAATTGCCAGCTCTAGTGGATTGCACATCTAATTATCATTCTGATAATCATTTTGACAACATAGATTCAAACACCAAAAACAGCTGATACGATGAGCACAGGTGCAGAAAGAGACAATATGCTATCATCCACGATCATATTCTCTCTCACACACACGCGAAATCTGAATTTATTACACAGACAGGCCTGTCCGTAGACATCACACGCCAAAGGCATATAAATATTACGTCACATATACATAGCGTGTAAATAGAAAAACACAGTAGATTGACTTAGGCATTCACGATCGACCAAATCGCATAAAAGTACGAAGATAAAAGTTCGATTAATCAAGCAAATTATAGTTCAAATCTATTTACTTGACGCATTCAGGAAACTGCAAAATCGAAAATGTCAACATATTTACCACTCTGTAATTGCAAGCTTAGGCGGGCGATAATTACTAGAACAAACAGAAACAAGACGGCGTTTGGTTGATCAAACTTACAGCGTCACGAAGCTCAGGATTGAGCTGTTGAATAACGAGGGCAAAGCTTCTAGAAACCTTATGTAGCATAGAGTAACAGAATCCCCAGTGTGGCTCCGACGGGATCTGTTTCTCCGCTGCCTTGGCCGCCATCTTCAACTTAAACAAGGGGTAGAAATCGTCGGGATGCTTCAACACTGCCTTTAAACTCCCCATGTTTATCGGTGATCAACCAAATCAAAGTAATTTTTCGGCGGGATTCGATGGATGAATTGATTTTATGGAAATTGCAGATCGAAACACGATTTTATGTGGTTGATGATTTACGGATGTGTATGAAAACTGGAGGTGATCTGTTTACTGTCTGTCTGTGGGTGGGAGGCTATTTATAGTAAAGGACCGGCAGAGGGGTTGAAAAATTGTGTGAATGGATTCTAATTCTACGAAGACGTAGAAAATAAAAAAATAAAAAATATTTTATTTTTATTTATTATTATATTTATTAGTAAATTAATATATTAAATTTATTTTAAAAAATATTTAGTACACAAATAATGTGTTGAAAATTCTCCAGTAATTAAACAATTATTTTCCAGAAAATAATTGTACATATTATTTTTATATTTTTTTTAGTGTAACATGTATATATATATATATATATAGAAAGATTTAAACGATAACACTTTCATTTTACAAGAACACGAAAACACCTTTTTACTATAGATAATCACATGTGATACTATTATTCCATCACATTTGATACACATGTAAGGGTCAAGTCGCTCTTACACCACTAAGCCCCCTCACATGTATTATCACATGTGATAAGAGTCTTGTTGATATGATACTATAATCCACCAAGACCATCACATGTGATGCTAAATGATAGACGCATATAACCTTTGGCTCGGCCTAAGTCGTAGAACACGTCTTCTGCATACCACCAGGTCCCCTCACGCGTATTATCACATTTGATAAAGATGTTCTTGTTTGAACCTCCACCTATATATATATATATATATATATATAGTCAAATGATTATATGAGAATGAGAGTTAAAATGAGAACATAAAAAGCATAAAAGAGATTTGAATCTTTGATCACCTTTAATCTCAAACTCATTTATAAATAACGTTTGATATGATGATTGATCTTGTGCATCTCGATGTATCTCATTTTGATGTATCTCATCCTAATATGTATCTAAGGGTGAAGATCGTTTCTTACGCTTTTTATCTTAACTCTCATTCTCACTTAAACCCGATCAGTTAAATAAAAGATCAAATTACATATTTGGTCCATATAGTTGTCATGTATTACGAAGTTTGGCCTTAATCTAAACTAATTGTAGTTTTGGTTATTGTGTTTGGCAATTTATTTCCTTTTTAGTTCCATTAACTAACTTGGATTAAAAAGAAAAGTTAGTTAAACTTATGGGTATTTTTGTCCTATTTTTATTAGATTATATTCAGGATTTATATAGTTAATTTAATTTATAAAAAATTAAAACATTATTTTTTGAGTTTTATTATCAATTGTAATATTTAATATATTTCTGGTAAATTTTCATTCAATCAGTTGGTATTACAGGTTTAACTATTTTAAATATTAATATATGTCAACCATTTAAAAATTTACATGTTCACTAAAAATAGATAAATATATTTTATTTTATGAATTTAAAATTTAAAATTAATTTTATGTGACCCATATTTTATTTTAGGTATATTTAATAATTTAATATTTTTAAAGTAAAAGTTGTCACAAGATATATTGTTCACATTTGATTACGACCATATATGTATAGTTGAAGGATCATGAGAAGAGAAGTTATGTTGAGAAGAGTAAGAAGAAATTTGAATCTTTAATCACTTTCAATCTCATGCTCATCCAAGAATTGCGTTTTAAAAGAGAATTGGTCTGGTGCATCTCGATGCATCTCATCAATTAGGATTGATACAAGAATGAGAACATTAGAAGGTGTTTGGTTTACAAAATATTTTTTGAAGGATTGAAATCTGTCAAAAAATTGAAATATGGAAGAAATTAGAATGAAATATTATCATGTTTGATCAAATGTTTGGTTAGCAGGAAATGAATTGTAATTTGTTAAATGAATTGGAATATGTTTATTTGGTTTACAAAAAGATTGGAACAGAACAATAAAAACTAACAAAAAATAACTTTTCTTTGATTTTATTATTATTTTTATTAAGTATAAATGCTAAGAAAATTAACATTTAATCTGGAAAAAAAAATATGTAAATTATTATTTATAAATCACTAGAAGGGTACTCGCAGCAATGCAGCGAGATATATCTCAATTTCTATGTTTCATTTTATTTTATTTTTTCTCTGTCGATATTATAATACAAATTTATGAGGTTTTGAGTAAACAATAATGTTTTTCTTAATAAAATATAAATTTGAAGATATCATAAATTTTTTGAAAAATATATAAAAAATCTCATCTTTTTTATAAATTTTTTAATCCAATTTTTTTATTGTAATTTAATTTAGGTTTAATGACGAAATAATTTATTTTTGGTTTAAAAATTATAATTATGAAGATAATAACTAAGTATTCTGTTAGAACTCAATAATTATCTTAATTATATTTCAGATTTAATATTTAAAATAAGAATTTTATCATGTATTTGATTATATTTGTCTACAGTTAGTTACACAAATTCAAACATGAAGCTTAATAAGTTGTATGTACATACAGTTTACTTATAATCTTGAATTTTAAGTAATATGCATCAATAAGCAGTACTTCATGTATAAAGGTGGTTTTTAAGAGCTTTTGTCAAATACTTTATAATATAGAATAGATATATAAACATATAATGTATGTTACTAACAAAAAAAACCAAACAGAAAAATCGACCTATAACAATTATCAAGTAATGGATGATACTAGAGTTGGGATCATCGAGAACAGTCTTTTTTTTTCAAGAAACTGAGAACACTTATAAGTAATTAAATGAGTTGTTTTGTTGATATAACAGCTAAAAAAATTAAAACATTTATCTGTTTTCATCTAATGGCTGAATAAATTGAATTTATTTGATCTGATTTATATTAATTTTGAAGACTTTTATGATGAAGTAATTTCATATCTTTCTTTCAAAATTAATTATACTTTATATTAAACATGTGTAATGTTGAAACTTTTTTAATGTGTTTATTTAATTGATTTATGATATTTTAAATAAAGAACTATTTCTAATATAAATTAGATAAACGTGGTACTAAATAACCTTATGACCACGGAGGTTCCAGGTTCGAATCCAAGAAAGAAGAATAAGAATCATCTTATAGTCACGGAGGTTCAAATGCGATAACTCTGGGTTACCCGCGAAGCGCGTGGTTGCCTAGGATTAATCGGCTCGCATAGCGGATTTAATATCCATGTTAATAAATAAAAAATAACCTCAAAATCGAACCCTAAGACCCCATGTTATAAAACTTGTTATTTTATTCAAATTTTGAGTGAGATTTTGAGTTGGTATATATCGCATCTTATGTTTAAGGGTTTTTAGTTGAAAAAAATAAAATTTATAAACATTTAAATGTTCAAAAAAAGGTTAAAAGTTACAATGCTTAATTAATAGTCAGTATAAAAAAAATACAAACACTAATAAATAATTAAATAAGTTGGTACCATAGTACTAACATTGCATTCAGCATTCATTATTGTGTACCGCCCTATTTGACAGAAATCGGAACCGGTTAGAGCGGTTCTTGAATTTTTGAAACCGATTCCGGGTACCCGCTTCCTAAAATATTAAAATTTTGTTATTCAGAAAGAAAAAATAAAATATTGCCAAAACACTAATAGTAAACAAGAATACAAATTATACGGAATAATGGTTACAAATATTGTTTAACGATTACAAACCATAATAGACTAATAGTAAATGTTGAAAGTTTAACGATTACATACTATAATTGTAAAGGTTCAAAGTTTAACGATTACATAGTACGAATCTAATTAAACACACAATTTGAAAAAATACGGATCATTTTATCTCAAATTCTGAATCTAGAGTTCAAAGTTCTGGACCTAATTTAATCTAGTATTAAAAAAATTATATTTTTTAATTAAAAATACCGGGTACCTGCTGGTTCCGGGTACCCGGTCCCGGCGGGTAACGGTTCCGAAAAATTGAGAACCGGAACCATTCTCAATCGGTTCTGTGTTTTAGGAACCGGAACCACTCATATCGGTTCCGGTTCCGGAACCGGCAGTTCCAAGACAGTTCCGGTTTCGCAAGTGGGTATCCGGTTCCATTGCTCACCCCTAAACACTACAACACTTCTTGCTTTTGATTTCTTATTATGATTACTGATCCAGAGAAATTGAATTTGATCCACTTTTGATTTAGTTTTGCATTTGTTAATTGGATTTTGATTTAAGGTTCTTGAATTTGATATTGAATTTGGGTTTGTTATTTTGATTTAGTGCTTGCTACTGCTTTGTCTTTTAATAACTGAATGTAAGTTTTTGCCTTTTTGCCCTCTGATTTCTTGCTAGCGACTATTAACTTATATTTTAATCAACTATTACATATAGTGTTCGCAGGTTGGATTCCGATGAGAATGAGAGTTAAGGGGAGAAGATAAGAAGAGATCTCTACCATTGGATGCACATCAAGATGAGATGCACCAATATGCACCGGATTGATCCTCGTATCAAACGAGATTCATGGATGGATTTGAGATTAAAGGTGATCAATGCCCAGATCCCTTCTTACGCTTCTTACTTTAACTCTCCTTCTCACATGATCATTCACCTTGTGTTCACTAGGTTTGTTACAAAATGGTTAAATGCCAAGTGCCAATATGTTGTTATTACAAATTGGTTTAATTGTTTGTTCTTCTTCATTATGAACCAATCTGATTTTGTTTCAACATATAATATATTCATTTGGTTTAAATGGAAACTACATAAAATAATATATATATATATATATAGTAGAATAATCTCTCGCTTCAACGAAAATAATAAAAAATCAACTCAAAAAACGAACCAAGTTATCTTTATTCAGTTAACCGAACATTTTAAACCGAAACCAAAAACCCAAAACCGTTATGGTTAGAATGAGTTACTCGGTGTCGAAACTTTTCGACACCCGTAAATATCCCAACCATAAAAGTCCCTGAATCCACTACTGGACGTGTGAGTTAATTTGGTTTGGTATAAAATTACACCCTCAAATGTAACAAATTACATCGGAAAACGATATAAAATCGATAAAAAAAACTTTATTATCTAAAATATAAAAATACATTTAAAATACGTTTTTATTGTATACACTTATTTTTTAATTTAAAAATATTATTTATCTTTTTA